GCTTATTGTGTTGTATTGTGTTTCATGTATCAGAATTTTTTTGCACATTTTCACGTGCTTGACGGTTAAAAGTCGCATCAGTCACATGGGTATCCTCCTTCTGTGACAGCATAAAAAAGTCACCTCATTGTTAATAAAGACTACGCTGAAGCAAGAATATGCAAGTTTTAAATAACACACAACCGCAAAATTCTACACAACATAGCAGTTTAGGCACGTACATAGTTGGATATACATCCGATATGAGAGCATTACCTTTAGAAGTGTGCTAGAATCGATTGCCACTCTCGTCAAATTAAAAGAATCGCACATCAGAGACCTTCTTTACTCGTTACTTTGAGGATACACACAATGGCGCGGAAGGGGGCTCATTTTGGAAGCTTTAGAATCTGACACGACTTAAATCGTGCAAAAAGATTACTGAACGATATAACCTAATTACTTCAATACAGAGGTAAATACATATTGAGAGTAATCCGCAGAAATAATAACATCATATGGTGCCACGAGCTTTCAAGTGTAAACATTAAGTTGGTCGCCCACATTAGATAGCCCTAACCTCAGAAGTCTGTCTTACGAAACAGATAACTACAAAGAGAGATGTAACAAATGCGCAACAAGAACTCCGCAAATAGGACCTGCGAATTGGATACAACCCTATATCGACTCTATATGGAGTTTTACAGATTGAAGTAAAACCGCGGAAAATAGGCTTTTTCTCCATTTTAAAAATTCAAAATAGGTTCTAATGCATTTGGGCAATTAGTGTAGGACGTAGGACCGCATGTAATTTAAAAAATCTAACTAAATTAAAACTACTCTAAACTGAATTAAACTAAAATGGAGCTTAACTTAAAAGTAAACCAAACAAAAACTAAAGAGGCTAAACTAAGGTAAACTAAATTAAAACAAAATAATACTCTGAAAAGTAAACTAGAACTAAACTATGCCAAGCTAAGCTACACTAAACAAAACTAACTAAACTGAGATTGAAATAACAAATTAACAATAAACTAAGGTGAGACTACGAAAGCTAAAAGTAACCGCAGAATGCTTAAGATTTCAGTGTTTTGGGGTTGCAATTTTAAAATAAATAGTTACAGCAGCTAACGGATTCTGTACAGTAGTTAAGCATAAATAGGCCTACTTATATGCATATAGTAGTTATCTATGCATATACTTATCGAACGTTAGTCACCAGCTTAACGCTTACAGCTTTAGAAGCCTACAAGACTATGAATGTGAACCAACATCACTGAACAAATTACCGATATTCAGAGATAGGTGAAACTTCTCCTGACAGAAGAATTGAACCAAAGGAAGGTAGCATAGAGAACATGTCAACCAAATGACTTAGATAAGGAGATTAAGATATAACGAGACTTATATGCAGGAATAATAATACAATATGGTTTGGTCCAAAAGAGTTAACTATATAGTAGGGGGTAATTGTACACCAATCTGTTTCAGGATGTACCCATCCTGGTTGACACCTTTGCGAATCTTGGTACCCCAAGTGTATATGTTGCAAAGCAAATAGTAATTTTACTTGTTAAGTTTTTTTTTAACAAGAGTTAACTATTGAAAACCGCCTCATAATGCATATCCAAAGAAGAAGAAGAAGAAGAAGAAGATGTAATCGCTGAACCAAGAAGTTCATTGTTTCGAGGTTTCGGATTCTCACTGGAACCCAGCATCAGATACAGTCGAAGACAAGGGTAGTAGAGGCACAAAGTGAAATGTTTATAGGACCACATGCGCAATCACGGCGCTGGGAGTCTTAGTTGATGCGATGATTGCTTGCCAGGCTGCGGCTTATTCGAAGAGACTTGGCCATGTTTTTAAGTTTTACGAGGCCAAAATCCTCGCGAGAGGTGACAACTATGTGGGCCGCGAGGTGCTCGTCTCAGGGCCGCATTACAGCAACAAGCGCAATGACCCCTGCATCGATATACTGTACTGAACAGGGGAAACAGTCATGTGGAGAGGGCGCAGGCAACCAGCAATTTCGTTGATGAACTTTCGCCCTACCGCTAAAGGAACTCATCCGTCCCGCTCTGCCTTGGGCCTTGACAGAAGCCCTGACAGCCGTAGCAGCTGGTAGTATAGGCAAATGATTTGCCTGCAAAGACAAGGGAGGCTAGAATGGTCATTTTTGGCTTATTAGCTGTCGTCAGCCAATCATATCCAAACCCACGTGGTATCCCACCCGATCCTCAAACTCGTGACATTTTTGATCAGAGTTCGGATGGGTCACCACTTGGGTCTGGGTATGACTGGCTAACGATGGCAAATAAGCCAGAAATGGGCATTCCAGTCTCCCTTGTCTTTGCTGGCAATATTATCCACCAGCAATTTCGATTACAGCGGGCGAAATCATGGCAATTAATGACACGCACGCGGACTGAGAAGCCATCATCCCATCGACTACGACCCATAGCGGTGATCGCGAGAGCTGCTAATTATCGTACGCATGAGGTCATAGACACTGCCGTCCTATCTATAACTACACTCGAGTGAGAATCCGAAATTTCAGGTCAACAAATTTCATCTTATGGCGATGAACAATTCCTCTTCGGGACGACTTCCTGACGCTGACTAGGTAAATCTCTGTATGGTACAGTAGTCGCCGGTTATTAAGCCCACCTCGGGCCCAGACCAAATTG